CATGTAATTCAAAATTGAACGGAGAGTTTCGACGAAAGAAATATCGTGTAGATGACTTTTACAATTAGGGAGTGATTACACTCCTAGTCCTATAGAAAAATCATATTATTAGATATATTTCTTTTTTCATATTGAATTGAACAAAACAAAATCGATTTCCATATCAATAGCGGTAATGTAAAAAGCTCATCATCTATGTGTGATTTTTTATTGAATTCTTCTTGTAAATATGAAATATAAGTGATGAGACTGTTACCGAGAAAAAACATCCGGATGGAATAAGAGATTCATTTTCAAACTAAGCTGATCAAAGTCAATGTAAAGAATAGAGAAAAGAGAAAAGGAAAGAAAAAAAAAAACGTTCCTAGAACCAATACGATTTCTTCTTCTTTTATTTTTTTTTAATATAAAACAACTCGGATAAAATTGTCATGTACAGCAAACAAACTCATGCTATTCTAATTGCTTTCAATTTATATAAAAGAACAAAAAAAAAATTCGAAAAAAAAAAAAAGAAGAAGCAAATCTCAATTCTTCTTATTTTTTTTTATCTCATATCAATTTTCAAAATGAACATGTTAAAATTCTCAATATTGTGTCAATGATGTCATCTTAGCGAGTTATATATCATTTGTTATAGATCATTAGATTTTTACCTTCGGGTATAATAGCACGCATTTTAAGATAACTTGTTGTAAGACGTATAACAGATGCTTTATCCAATTGATCAGTAATTGCATGTGGTAATGGTAAAAGTTTAGCCAATTCAAAAAATTCAGCATTTTCTTTTTCACGTCGACTTCGTGCTGCATTCTTTGATTTTTCTTTCATTGCTTCAATTCTTAAATAAAATAGATAAAAAAAAAAGAAAAATAATCTATATACACACCTAAACATAAAAAGATCATATTATTAAATTTATGATGTTTTAATTAATTTTCAATTGTCTATGAACACATACACGTTTTTTTTTTCTTATATTTTACCTATGAAATCGTGCCAATTTTTTTTCATTGTGTCATCTATCGAATAGTTTTTTTTTTTTTTTTAATAATGAGAAATGAGGAGAAAAAAAAAAAAAAAACGAGAGACAACAGGAAATAAATTAGCATTGTTAACTAAAAGAAGAAAAAAAGTTCGAGATCCTACTTAACGCATCCATCTCATTTGACACGTACATTTCTATACAAATCATTTTCTATTTTTATTTCAAAGCGGTAATCATCTTCATCAATATTATCTATTAATTAGTTCAATTTTATATATATGAGGAAAAAAAAATATTACAAAAAAAAAAAAAGAAAAACTTACTTATGATAAAATCGTAAATAATTAATAAAAACCAAGTACAACAACAACAACGGTTTATTAATCCGTTGATGTGTTGTTGCTATGCTTATAACACATATGAGAAAACGTCTCTCTCGCTCTCGCTTTTTTTTTCTTTCATTCATCAATAAGAAGATGTTCGTTGTGTATACTCATACTCGTATTTCTATTCGTTGAGTAGATTTTTCTTCTTCTTCTATAATATATCAAAAGTTATGTACAAGGAAAAAAAAGAAAATAGATCTTCATAATTTTTTAGGTCGATCGGTAAAAAAAAGAACTTCTATGAATGATAAATTTATTGTATTCTATTTAGGATCTAATAAGCCGAAGCAATACTTTAAATGTGATTGACCTTAGATATTGAATATCTTTATCATTTGAGCGTGACCAAATCTCGACATTTATTCTTGTTCTTTTATATTTTTTTTTCTGATAAGTTGTATATGAAGACGAATAGTTTATTTGCCTGCTCTATCTCTCTACTATTCTTGATTGATTTGTCTAATATAATAAAAAGAAGAAAAAGAAAGAAAGAAAGAAAGAAGAAAAAAACATCTATGTTATAGATGTTAACTTTTCTCACTTCAATCGAATGTATATATCATATCGAACAAGAATAAAAAAGGAATTAGAATGAGATTAACATCGATATATAATCAACAGGTTCATATACAAAAGAAAAAAGCGGTAGTAGGTTCAATCTCTTAACAAACTTCTTTTATTGAATTACTTGTAACATATTTTACTAACAAAGAAACAAAAAACAAAACAACCATATAAAATCTTCTTTTTTTGCTCTATAGAGACATTATAAGAAGAATATTTTGCATATATTGTTTTTTTTTTTTTGACATTAACACATCAGAGAATGTTTGTCAATTGAAAGAGAGAACTACCTGGATAGAAAACGATGAAAAGTAAATATGGAACTTTTCTATAACAAAAAAAAAGACATTGATTAATCGAGTTAGTCTTAAAACAAAAAAAAAGAAAAAAAAGTCAACATTATTATTAAATTTTATAAGCAAGCAATATATATGAAATGTATATCGAACAAAATACTCAATTTCTATTATTATGATGATGATGATTCTAAGGTTTGAAATTTGCATGTGAATTATTTTGTTCGAAAGTAACATATATATAAAGATGCTATGAAAGTGCATATATCAAATGAAACAAAAAAATGTTTGAATTCTTGTTTTGGTTTATAATTAATAATGAATATTGATTAACAAATTTTTATTGAAAAAAAAAAGAAAATTTTTTTTTTGTCAATAAAGAAATAATCTTTGAATTTTGAGAAGTCATTGACTCAATGTCAGATCAAAGAGGATATGAATATATATATATTCATATAAAATTCAAGCCTATTAGAACTAGAAGAATAATTTAATTCTTTACGATATAATAAAAATATTTACCTACTATAAATATAATTGTTAGTATAATTATTCTTTTTCATCAGGTTCGAAATTCTATATTAAAGTTGCATGAAAAAAAGGAAAATATTTTACTATAAACATCTGAATGTCTAGAAATATTTCTCTCATCGATCTAGTTTTGATAATACTTATCTAAACGTTCTTTTTGTAAGAGTTCTAAAACATTTTATTTAAATGATGAATAAATAGTAACATGAAAATAATTGTTTTTGATAAATATGACAATAAATTAGAGGAGATTTGAAAGAAATTCAATTCGATCTTTCTTCTTTTTCTTTTTGAAACTTGTAAGTTAAGAAAAGAAAAACAAAAAATACAGGATTGATATTTATGTTAATGAGGATTATGTGAATCATGTCACTTTTCAATTGTCATATTACAAACATATCATATGCGCAATACGTATTTCAATGACATATGTTGTATGACCTTTACTAAATTTGTCATTAAATAACTATATATTATATTGATAAAGAACTTTATTATTTGAGTTCATATAAGTGATCTTCGAAAATACTCGTTGATTATAAAAATATTAGTATTTAGTAACAGATTTCAATATTGAATATTCATTTCAAGTTTTTTTTCTAGTAAAGTTTAAAAAAGAAAAATATTCTATTTAGTTATGTCGTATGATTTGAAGTTTTAAATTACATAGAGATATGATACTATCGTTCAGTTAGTTTATCGTAATTTGATCTGATGAGATGGCGCATGTTGTTCGGATATATATATATATGTCATATCAATAAATCCTGAAGAGGGACCCACTTATCGATCAATGACACGATTAGCAAAGAAAATTTGTTTTTTTTTTCATAAAGTGATTGATATCTCCTATTGCTATTTTATTATCTAATATAATGATAAAACAAAACGAATGTAACATTGTTTTTCAACAATATCAGAAAGAAGACTTCCTAAAATCTCATAATAAATCAGCAAAACTAATATAAATGAAATCTGAATAAAAGGCAATAGTGATTTGTATTCGACATATACTGTTTAATCATGAAAAATTTCTAAGATTTTATGATATATTCAAAAATATATGACTTAATATCTATTCCAGAAAAGAAGTTAGAGAACGGTATTTTTGAAATAACTTTTGACAGAAATAGAATAGAACACTTTGATTTTCATCGTAGAAAAGAGAAGATGAATTGTCACATCGAATAATATTATATAGAATTTTGTTAATCAAATTATCAAAAAAAGAAAGTATTACAAAAATGAGTTTCTTATAGAATAAAGAAAAAGGTGGGGTTTTGTTTTTTTTACAGCAAGTACTGGCATGATCTATTAATATTACAGAATATACTTTCAATTGTCAAATATTTTCGTACTTCACCTAATTAACTTTATATTTCCTCTATATAACAAACTCTCCTTTTAATGATGTAAGTTACCCTCAAATCTCCATCATTGATTATTCCAGCGTATCTAACTGTTAAATATTTCCATAGAAATAGTGATAAAATCAGATCCTATCCATCAATATTATTATTTGCTCGGTATCTGAACATGCACTTTCTTTCAGCTCTACTAGACATTGACTAGATCTAAGTTTCGGATATTTAATGTTATACTATTCATCAAAACTTGTAAAAGTGTGATTAAATAATATAACACAAAAAAAGCAAAAGATTACTCAATTTAGTTTTATCAAATACTTAAAGATCAAAACAAACGTGTCTAAAACTATTTTATTCAAGTTTTCTCTTACAAAATAAAAAAAAGATGTTTTTCATACCTGTCAAAATCATTTGTATTTATATTTGTATCATCATTTGTATGAATTTGACGAATAAATGTATGATTTTGTGTCATATCTTCGTTATTGATATCGATCATTGCTTATTCGTTGAGAGAATAAAAAAGAAGAAGAAGAAGGGGGGGTTGAACGACAGGTTTTTCTTTTCAATATATTTATGTATACCACACGGTCATATCATCATGATGTTCAAGTAAACAATTGATTGTCGTTTGTGTCTGTGTCTTGTCGTTTCGTTCGCTGATTGCTCGTTTTACTCTTATACTAAAAAAGAATATTCTTCTCAACGAATCACGTTCGATAAAGTTCAACGTCTCGTTTCTTTCTATGTTACCGTTTAACTTTTATTTTATCAACAAGAAAAGAAAAAAAGAAAAAAAGAGACAGTTGATCCATTACTTTATTCTCTCGTTTTTTTTTGTCTATCTTTATTCTTACTTAGTATTAATGGATAATAGAGAAAAAAAAAAAAAGTAATCTTGCTTTACTCGTCAACACTAACTAATGACAATATTTAATCTCTTGTATGAAGGAGGAGCACATAAATGATGAACGTAAGAGAGAGAGAGAAAAAAAAAAAACGACAAAATCGATTTTCTACCAATCACATCAAATTTGACCATGAAAAAGAAAAAGCAAAAAAACGCCAATGATTTATAATATTAAGATGTTTGATATTTATTTTATTTAATAAATTGATTGTCGATTTTATTGATGATTAGATCATGAAAGATTCGAATATCTATTTTTCACAACTGAGTGATAGAATATATCAGGCAAATATGACACCATTAGTCAATGGTAGTCCTCTCGTTTTCTTCGTATGCTTGTTCCCATTTATTCTTTTGTTGATTGAACATGACAAACGTTCAATATATATTTTTGCTTACCTATGATAGAAAAAAAAAAAAAACGTACGGACAAACTAAAAAATTTTTTTTTCTCGCTCTCGATTCTTTAGATGTTGAATGTGAAATAGGAAACTGTTTGTTAATCATTTACGAATTCCATCAACAATGTCAATGCTATTCGTACAATTAATAGAGAAGACAAGGATATGTTACACGAGCCGGAAGATGTTTAAACATCCGTTTTATATTTTAAAAATAACATATCCTATATACAAACTTATATGAATAATATTTCTTCGCACATTTTGAATATTTATCAACAATCAATGTACATGATAAAATATAAAATCACTTCGAATTATCAAATATATGATAAAGAATTAAGATTTGATGATTTTAGTTTAAAAATCATAAATAAGGTCATTGGTAGGTAAATGATATTGTATTTGAATAAAGAATGATGAATTTAAATTTGGTTCGACAATAGAATATTTAAATATAAATCATTATAGATTAGAAATAAATATTAAGATATATGTAATTATCTAATGATAATCATCTAGTGATACGAAGTCTAATCAGGGTGGCCAGATCTTCTGAAAAGTAAGGGAACTTTCTGAATTCCTTCTGCTCTTCTGATTTTCGTACCATTATCTGATTTCTTCTGATCGTAGTGTTTTCTTCTGAACTTTCCCGAATTCGATACTAATTCAGATCTCTGCTTTGATATTACAGTTCAGGAAAGTTATAACACATTACTATTATAGATGAATATTGCGCCACTTTTTATCAATGATCCGTCGGTAATTTCTGAATCACATAGGCAAGTTCAGCTACAGAAATGCATTAGAACTTTATAATGTTTTTATTTCGACAGTCTTATCTGATTAAATATTATACAGACAAAAGCTAAACTATTGAATAGAGGATGTTAACATGGTTGGAGTTGATTCTGAAGAGAAACAAATCGAAGTAAATTCATCAACATTATCTTGAGTAAAGAAAAAAAGAAGTTTTTCGTAAAGATTGGGTATCTATTGACGAGTATTCATCTTGGTTGCAAACAATAAATAATGATTCTACAAAGGCTCGATGTAAAGCTTGTCTTAAAGCATTTTCTGTTCATTTTGATGGAAAATCAATTGCCGACAAACACTTAACTAAAAATACTAATAATCATTCTTGTAATCAGTTTTAGAAAAATATATTATTTCACAAAAAACTTGCTGAAACAAGTTCGAAAAATGGAAAATATAACTAAGGATTAAAAGACTATGTGCTATATAATCCTTTTTTTTTTCTGTAATTTGTTAACTTAGAGAGTACATATATGAGTCTTCTGTACTCTCTCGTGTATGTGTTTTTCATCTTGTGAACAAATTCAACGCATTGTGTCTTTTATTAGTTGTTTTTTCTCGCATCAGCTATATGTTATTTTCACTATATTGTCTTTCTTTATAGTGAAGAACGTTTGAAAATAAAGTGCAGGTCAATGAAATAAATATAGTGGAACATTTTATGTAAATAATTGAACATGGAAGTCAGTAGTTCGATGAAAAACGGTCTTTCTGATAAGTTTCTGATTTTCCGGAAAAATTTTCTGATTTTTGAATTTTCGATCTAGTCACCCTGAGTCTAATGTAGAAAGGTAAGAAAACTAAATCTTTTTCAATGTTCAATATTTTCAAAAGAGTTCGGCTTAAACTTTTCGAATTCATGTATGTGTTTTTTAATTAATATTTGAACAGTAGTCGGAAACTCTTGTATTCATTTGAAAGAAACTCTATCAATGTTTATTCATATATTTCTAAAGAACAATATCAATGAATCATCTGATTGTCTTTCCAAACCATGATCTATCATCAACAGTATTCATAGTTCTCATGCATTAAATTATTTATTCGACGAAAATGAAGAGTAAATCTTTTTACTATTTTTATTTTCATTATTTCGAATTTCAAAAAGATCAAACGCATAAAATTTTTACCTTCTAATGAACTATATTTAGAATACAAAAAAAGAAAACTAGTAAAATCAAAAAATGAATATCATTAATTTGATCATGTTATTCTTGTTACACAACTGAACGAGTAGTTTCTCATAAAAATTTTATTTATGAACAATTTACATCTCACGTATGATATACAATATAGATTGTTTAGGAAAAGTTATGAATAATTTTGTATGTTCTTGTAAATGTCTAGCATAGCGGCGTAACCAGGATTTTGATTGTGATAGGGCTCAGCTACTCAAATTCTGCTCGATGGTGGGGCTCGTAATAGAATTTAGCTGGAGTGACTTTGTCGGGTGATGGGACTGAGCCCCAGTGTGGTTACGCCACTAGTCTAGCAGATTAGAAAGAACAATAAAACTTGCAGCGGTTCACATAAACACTGTACTTCACATCGTATTGAAACTTTTTACAAATAAGTGTTATTACAACCGGCAATGAATATCATGGTTACTGTAAACTAGCGACAATTTATTTTTTTAAATGAAATTTAATATTAATAATATTCAATATCAAATTAAAAAATTAATTTAATAACGAAATATCAAAAAACAAATCATCTATCATATGATTGGTGGATATTCTATCCAATCCTGAAACATAATAAATAAGTTGGAGTACACTACACTGTACTATTTGTGTTTTTGTTATTTATTCAAACACGGATCAATCAAATATGCAGTATTGGCGTTTAGCTGGATTAAAGTTAGTTTCATTTGATAAAACAAAAAAAAAAAATCTAATCTTTAAAATAATTTAGTTATATTCAATATTCTGCTGTATGTGCACGTACATTACGTCGATGTTTGAAATCATCTGTTGCTAAAGAAGCTATGAAACGTGAAGAATCATATGTACGTGTTAATAAATGGCAAGGTGGAAAACTTGCCGATCAAGTTCATCCAGCTAGTAAGTTAATGTTATTTTTTTAAAATGTACATATTTATATATATAATTATTTTTTATTTGTAGAAACGGAACAAACATCATAGAACTATAATCAACATGATTCTTAGAAGCATATAGATAAAAAAAACATTTTTTCTTTTTTTTTGCTCTCCTAATGGTTCAGTGACTTCTTTTTTTTTTCTTCTTCTAACGTATATTACCCTCTGTTTGTTTTTTTTTGTGTTCTATAGCAAAAAAAAAATAAAACATGATCATCCTGAAAAGTTTTCCTATTGATCAAAAATTCTAAATATGATTTTAATAGTTAAACTATTTCTAATTTTCAATTATTATATGAATAAGAGATTGTTATATGAATATGATAACTAATATTCTAGGAAAGAAAGAAATGTAATAATTTTGTAAGAAGAAAATTATTTTCAAAAACTTTTTTGAAGTATTTTATAGAATATTTTGAAATATAAGAGAAAAATTCTTCAATTGACTTTTGAATCAAGGCTATATGTTTTATGTATGCTACTGATAAATTATGAATATACTGAAAAGAGTTCAGGTCTTTAGCTGATTGCTGTCAAGATATTATATGTTTACGGTATATCCTTAGTCAATACAGCGGGTTTTCTCGATAACATTAGGAAAACTGATTGTCAAATATTAACTTGAAAATTTCCATAGAGATTAATAGATTTGATTTTCTTATTTCAGAAAAGAAGTAAAGGAAAAGACTGAAAAATTTCACAAGATGAATTTTCTTAAACCTTTCCTCCTTCTCTCAAAAATGAATCTCAGCTCAGGAACATCGAAATTCCATAAAACTTTCAGGATATATTGGGGTTGGTGAACCATGACTACAGCAAAATTTTCAGCTCTATATCATAACGTTTGACAGAGATATTCACCAAATAAGGGTCAAAAATACGTCTATCGTAGCGCCAGCAGAACTCTATCATAGTAAAAGATAAAGTGAAACATTTTTTTTAAATTCTTACTTTTTCGGCGAAAAAAAAGGAATGACAAGTTCAATGACTCAAAAAACCCTAAAAAAAATGACGTTGTTTTTATAGAGATGCTTTCTTATATGAGAATACAAAGACTTTAAAAAAAAGGGTCATCAGGAAAGCTAGCCCTAGATACAAGCTTTCAAACAAAACAAAAAAATATCTGACTTTATGTTTTACTATGATAGAGTTCTGCCGGTGCTATGTTGTTGAACTCACATTTTGAGAAAAACGAAAACTGATTTTCGATTTTTTTTGTAAAAACAGTTTATTTTTCGAATAGAGGTTTCAAAGTTTTCGGGAAAAAAAAGAGATGTCAAATAAAAATTTTTATCGCATATGACGGATTATTTCCCCATGAATTTATCTTAATTTCGATGATTCTGGCGAAAAGTGATTTTTTTTAAAGGGGGAAGAGGGGACCTTAATGTTTCTGAGAAGATCATAATATTGACAGAAAAACAAAAAAATCTTTTACATAATAGAAATAGTTCAAAACTTCAAAGTGATTAATCAGCTGAGAAAATTTTCTCATTAGATAAATGAATTTTTTGAATAGTAATAACCAAAACTTTATTTACAAATTTCTTCGAAATTTAAATGACAACAACGATTTTATTTGTTGTTGATAGTCACAGAAAAATTATTTTATTCTATTTATTTTAGCACTCATTTCTTCATCATCCGTTTACTAGATTCTCCCGAAATACAATAAGAAAATAGTTCATATAGTATAATAAGACGTTGTCAATATACAACCTTTGATCATATAATCAATAATCCTAGTCACGATATGTGATGAACAAAGTTTCGTCTATATTAGATTTTTGTATCGATTTCAAATGAATATCTAATTTTGATTGTATCACTATAAATTAAATCAGATATCTAGTATAAGCATTCAAATTTGAAAAAATATTTACTAGAAAAATATAATTTTATTTTTTAATCTTTAATTATAACATTCTTGAATAATCATTGAGACGATATATAATTTATATTTACAATAATGAACTAAATTATGGCCTTAAATTTCTTATTCAACGTAATAATAAGTGCATGATGACATTGTTATTACAATTAAATTTTTTTTTTTTTTTGTTTTCTTATAACTATAATTATTTCCTCGGTAGTTTTCTTTGACAGTAATTTTCATAGTTTTTCTTTCTTCATTATATTAAGTTATTAGATACATCTTATCTCAGGTTATAGTACCCAATAAAATAAAACCATTAACCTTAAGAGTACACATTTTCTCTTGTTTTTCTTTACTAAATACAAAGAGTTGAATGTTAACAGAAATCATTAAAGGTTTCCTATTTTAGTTATCGATGTCTTTTCTTTTTTTTATATAATTAGAAAATTCATATTGTATCTCATATATGAATGTTTGAATTTTATTATTTGTTAACATGTCAACTATATATATATATGCAAAATCATACTGAATTTAATATTTGCAATTATTATTAATACAGAACAGAATGATTTAATATTGATATTAAATTTTATTTATCGTTTTATTTATATGTAACTTTTTTTCATGTCATTATCAGATCTTGATGAGTTGAGTTGTTGTTTTTATGTTAGTACAATGTTTACGATTGTTTATGAATTTAATGTAAACTACTTAGTAGAAAGTGATACAGCTTGAAAAACTCTCGAGACAAAAAATGGATAGATAATACAATCATATGATGGTGTCAAGTTAACATTGTCATGAAAAAGTCTTGAGAGAGGAACATAATTCTTACTTGATCTTTTTTAATTGCTACTTTATCTTATTTATAATTACTTATGTATAATTGTTTATGGGATTTGTTTTTGTAATTATAAATTCGATTAAATATTTTACTTGTAAACTAATAATTAAATTTAATAAAAGTATTTATAATTGAAAAAATTTAAATTGATTGATTTACTATGTATTCAAATTATTTACTAAGTGGATATTAATTTCATTTAAAAGAAAAAGCTAATTTTGTATTTATTTAGTTTTTCTTAGGAAAAAAAAAATAAAGATTGATATAACATAAGTCAAGTAAACGAGTTCACACATGCTATACAATCTGTGTTGAAGCCTAGATTCTTCATTACAATTGACTGATATTTCTAACATTCATTATAAGCCTCTTATACTTTGTAATACTTGAGAAAAATAGATTATTTAATCTAATTATACTTATATAGTTTCTATCCAAAACAAAAGTATAATATTTTAGCTATTCGACTAATTACAATTACATCTATCTTTTAAAATCTATATTCACATTTTTATTAATCAAGAAATAAAATATATTTTTTGTAAAATATCATTATTCACAAAAAAAAAAAAAAATAAATTGTCAACTTTTTAATAAATGTTATTTTCCATTATGTTTTGCTATATAACATCGATTTGATGATTTATTTTTTGTAGTTGGAAGTAACAAATGTTTAAATGCTGTACGAAATTCTACATTAAATACTGTATAAATTAATGGATTAACAGCACTATTTACATAACCAAGCCAAAGTATTAATGTTGGTAATGGTTCTTTAATATATATTTCTACATCAATAAAAGCTGATAAAATATAAACAACAAAAAATGGTAACCAACATAAAAGAAATACACTTATTATTATTCCAAGTGTACGTGATAGACGACGTTCACGTGTTAAAGATATTTTTTGTCTTTCATGCATTAATGATGCTAATGTTTTACCTTTAAATAATATTTTACGATCATTATCTTTAATTGAATGTTTATTTGATAAATATTTTGATTTATTTAAAAATTCTGTTGTTTGTACAGATACATTTTGTTGTTGATTTATAAAATCAATTTCAGATTTTGATTCACTTATTGAAGTTTGACTATATAATGGTATAGATAATTCAACATTGGATGGTAATGTATCGCAAGCTATAAGAATAAAAGAAATTTTTAAAATCAAAACAAAAGAAAAATCATTTGTCAAGAATATGATAATACAAAAAAACAAAAATGTCCTTGAAAACTTATTCCGGATGTCGAAAATTTGCAAGAATCTAATATCTAATTTTATGTTCCGGTGACGTGACTAGATCATTAGAGTATTGGTGACGATGGTTGAGATATCTTAAAAATTTTTGACTCAACCGATCAGCTTACGAGTTTAGTTGATATGAACTTAAAATTTTTCTAGTGTGATAATGCAGGATTATATATGAAAATTATTTTTAGATTTAAAGATTACTTTCTATAGTAAAATAAAGTTATGATTGTTTTTATTTTTGTATAATGGCAAAAAAAAATGCACTTTAATAGTATTATTTAGTAGAAATTCTTCTAATGTTTCGATAGTCTTATCAATAAAAGAAAAAAATTTGATTGAAGACATAAAATACTTGAATTCATATATAGTTTACTTATGAAAAATTAGTGATTGTTACAAAAAAAAAAAATCTTTCTCTTATCTGATTAAATATATATGGCATCATATGTCAATAATTAAACATAAGTTACTTAGAATTTGATTATTGTCATAGAATTATAAGTATCTCTACAAGATAATAAATATTTCTTTTCATATTTCAAAAAAAAAAAAATTAAGAGTAGAATATAATGAATAAAATCTTTCAAAAAAGTATCAAATTTTCTATATATATAATTTTCTTTTTATAAATTCTACTTACTTATTGGAGGTATTTTATTTTCATCAATACTCATAGTAAGTGATATTTGTGATGCACTCATATCCATTTTTTGAGTTTGCATTAATGAATTATTAAGCATTATATTATTATGATTATATGATAATGGAGATATTGTTTCATTTTTTGTAAATGACATTTCATCAGCATCATCTGTACTAAAATTTTCTAAACCACTACCATTTGATGCTGAACATTTTAATGATGAACTTGTTGGATGTAATACAGATGATGATAAACTTCGTTTATAATGATAATTATGATTATTTTCTGCTTTTTTTTTAATTGTTTTATGTGTACGAGCAACATTTGCTAATTTTGCTGCAGCTATATTTTATATATAGATGATTAATTTAATTTTTTCACTGTCTCTCTCAAAAAATAAAAGAAAGATTAACAAACCTTTAGCACGTTCACGAAAACGTTTTCGTGTTTCACAAAAAACTTGTGCATAAACAACAGTCATTATAATTGCTGGTATATAAAATGATCCACATGCTGAATAAATAACATATACTTTATTTTTTGATAATTCACATTGTTGTAATTCATTAAAATTTCTTAATTCATCTGAACCAAATATAGTTGCAATTATAGGTGGTATTGATATTGTTGCTGATAATAACCAAACAATTGTTATCATAGCAAGTACACGTCGTATTGTACGTTGACGTGCATAATGTATAGGATCACTTATTGCCCAATAACGATCAAGCTAGAAAAATATTAAATATATCTTTTCTTAATTTAGTATAAAACTTACTGCTATAGCACATAAATTTAATATTGATGATGTACATAGAAGAACATCAGAAGTGACAAATATTTGACAAAATATATTTCCTAAAATAAATATGAAGTTTTTTTTTTTGTGCTTTTTTTTTTTTTAGTTACCAAATATCCATCGATTAAGTATATGTGTAACAATATGAAATGGCATAACCATAATAGCAACTAACATATCAGAAAAAGCAAGTGAAATAATAAAAATATTTTGAACTGTTCGTAATGGTCGAAATGTAAAGACAGATAAAATAACAAGAATATTACCACATATACATAGAACAACAATACTTGAAAGAACAAATGCAACAGGTAATATTCGAAATATTGACATTGATAGAATTGATGTTGAATTCGTTAGATTTATTAGATTAGATGATGATGATATGGATAAAGGTGAAATATTAGACATATTGGAATTGATTGATGATATTAAATACCAATTGATAGTATTAGTATTAAATGGAAAGAGTCTATTTTCATTTTCATTATGAAAATTTGATGAAAATAAATCACGACGATGTACTGATATTGTTAATGGCACTAACAAAAAAAAAGATATTAAGATAAGGTAAAAGAGTTGATCGTATATTTTGTTTTATACTAAAAAACTAATGCTATTTTCAGTTGCTTTTTTTTTTAGTATATGGAGGTTTTACTAAAGAATATATTTGATTTTGCTACTAAAATTGCAGCAAAGAAAATTTCGGAAGATGACTCCCCCTTATTTTCCGCTCGCCGCTCATCATGTACATTCATTCATATCCGGCCACTTTCCCGCCTATAATCAACCGTCCCAATTCCTTTTTTTTTCATTCAATAATAACAACATCTAATGATCTACCTTCCTTTAAAATCACTCTATAATCAACTTTCTCATAATAGAAAAAAAAAAAAAAGAAAAATTCTTTAGTCAATACCTCTAATATTAAATAATCGACTATATAATATAAAATTTTTTTTTTCATTATATATAAGAAGATTATTATTATTATTATCATCATTCTATGTATTTATAATATAAACAATAACTTCATTAGTTACTAAAAAAATAAATACTTTTACCAAATGGATTTTTTTGACTTACCAGAATAGAAAGATACACATAATGAATAGTAAATAAATGATTGCAATTTCTAGATCCAATAAAATATCATGAAACTAATGAATAGATAATACATCTTTTTCTCCTATAGAGTCTCGTGATAAAAAAAAAAAAACTATGAAATTCTCATCATTTGAATAAAATATAGTATCGTTTGCGTGATCTATATTATCATTTATTTTCTTGCATCTTCTTCTGTTCATTTATACTCTTTTCTTTTTGAATTAATCATTTTTTCTCGCTTTCTCTCTCTTTCTCTTTCATCTTTCTTGTCAGTTTCACATCTTTTACTTTCTTTTTTTTTTGTTTCTGGAATTGATTGATAGAGCAGACGAGCTTAACAAAAGCAGAACACTAGATATTGATAAGTATCATTTAAATAAATAATAATCTCTCATAATGATAGATATTTTCTTCTTTTTCTCTCGTTGTTTTTTTTTTTTGGGGAGTATTCCTATGAGATATACATCTGGAAAAAAAAATCGATTTATTTAATTTTTTCTTTTTTTTTTTCGACAATTATAAAAGAGTTATTATTATTAAATCATTATGTATTTTCTTTTTTAATTCCTATTCTATCGTTCAAATTAATTATAAAGTCAAGTTTGTTCAATCAAAACGGATATTTATCGAGAAAATGAAATAGGAAAACATTACTCAACATGTAGTTGATTTAGTACTTATGAAAAGAAGAAAAAAAAAAAAAAAAAACTGTTCATTCATTTGCATGACAAAAAAACTACTTCCCCAATTGAAAATCTAATAGCGGATGTTCTTTGTATTCGTCTTTATATATAAAAAAATTTATCCATAACAAGAAAATGCTATTCTAGATAGTTTTTCTTTTCGTAAAAGTTACAGCAATGTATCTTATTTTTTGTTTTTTTGTCATTAGCTCTTCTCAGTCAATCACATAAATTAATATAAACATTACTTATCGACATAAACAATTCGATATTAAATATTTTATTGTTTATTAACATAAACTATGTAAAATAGAAAGTAAAAATGAAATAATAATAGTACAAAAAATCAGTTAGTAGAAGAGAATAAGTACTAGATAGAATAAATTCATTTCTTACTATAGAAACATCATAAGATTGCATACAATTTGTTTCATCAGTTCATTTCTCTTTCTTTATGTTTAGCTTTTTATAAAAGAATTTATATATGCATGTCATCACCGTTTCTTTGTTGATATACTTTGTCAACAAGAAGTTACAATTTGTTCGTTCTTCCTTAAGATTGCATCAATAAGAAAGGTTCACAGTTCATTCATCTCATAGCTTTTTAGTATTTTGTCTTAGTCTTAGGAGTAACAAAGTCAAATATAAATCCCTTTAAAAAATCTTATTTCGTCTTCTAGAATAAAAAAGAACGCCTCATTTCCATTACTTTTTGTAAATGGATGCCATTATTAGAAATAATAAATAAATTTATATAATTGAATTCATTCAAACATAAAAACTTTTTATCGCTGACTGTTTTCATTTATGTAAACAATGACGAAAACTTACTAATATGATGAATCTATTAATTGGCTATTTTGTTCGATTTCTAGAACGACAATGATTATTAAATCATATTGAAAACCAAACTAAAAAAAGAAAAAAGAATAAGAAGACAAACAATAAATCTTTATAAAAGTGTCATGACACTATCTAATCTATAAATAGTATCTTGAGATAGAACATCTCAAGTGCCGAAACAATATAGGACTCTTTAAAGATCAATCTCAAGAAATAGTTTATTGAAAATAATATATTATTGGTTTTTTCTTCTCTTTTGTTTTTGTTCTAACAATGAAAAAACTTAAAAAACAGACTATTTTCAGTTACTGTTATTAACTAAATAATATTACTTAGAACATCATTCATTTTATATATATATATATGAATATAAATACGTATCTCAAAAGAAAAAAGACGATTTTTTTTTGCTTCAATAATCTTATTTATAAAAGTTATATCAATTATGATTTCTGTGTGATGTTCTATAAAGTAAAAATCTAAATACAAACTAATACAATTTATAGTTCATGATCGTGTTTATGGTTCATTACTTCTTTTTCTAGTGTCCGAATTCATAGTACTATTCTTTCTTTTTTTTTTTTTTTAATGAAGCACATGCCGCTTATGTGTAGTTGATCTATACATAAAGAAAGAAAAACAGAATTATCTCTAGAAATGCGGTCGACATAAAAACAGATGGAAACAATATTTCTATTTTCTGTAATAAATATGTGTTTGTTTTTACATAGATAAATTTCTAATCAACAAAAAGAAAAAGATCGAAAATGTGTTGCGCTTTTATTCTATATATGTTGTAACTTGTCATGTGATGTCGATCATTGACTTAAATTTCTTGTCATCAGAATTTTGCTATTTCTTTTGAAAATTGCTATCGGCATACTGACATATACATACAGGAAGTATAAAAGACAACGGGTAAATATAATACAAAGCAAATAATATAATTTTCGAAAAAGAAAGAAAAAAATGAGCATAATTTATTTGTTGTTATTATGAGTGTAAAAAGTTATTGTTTGTTAGTCAAGCAAATATATTTATCTATGTATAAATATAAATATTTTATGTACTATTTTTATCCTAATATAGATAATAATTTATATTTTTTTAATGCTAATGAAAATAATTTATTAGAATTGATTTGTATTTTGTATTTTAAATTTACTAATTTAAAAATCAAATCACGTCATATATAAATCAAAAAAATTATTTATTATTTTAAAAAATCAAAATAACAAAAAAAAACTTCAATTAAAAATAGATTATCTATTAAATATTAGTCATTTATAGTATTTTTAAATATTCCAAATTAATCATAATATGTTTTATTTATTTTTATCACGTAGTTTTTTTTTTTTCTTTTACATCAATTTATTATTATTCTATGACGAATGTTAAGTAATGTTGTGTTTTATTCGTTAATAAGTTGATTAAGATAATATTCTTCTATAAACATTACTGAACGTATTATTGAATACAAATTTAAAAACTAATTTTACGCTTATACTAAAACGGATAGAGAAAATATTATTTTCCAGTCCGATTAATTGAAGGAAAACTATCTAGGGAACAAAAAAATAGCATGTCAGGAATAGTTTTATAAGTTAAAACATATATATCATAAAAACAAAATTTTTCCTTATTCAATATTTCTTAAATAGATTTATTTTCGAAAATTCAAAATTTTCTAATGAATTTTACATTACCTTTTATTATATATAAAATATAATATATTAGAATATTTAAATTAGAGAACATTGTTTAAGTTATTAATATTATAATGTAACTGTACTTATCTATTCTTAGAAAATGAATATCTCAATATCAACATAAAAATTAATTTGTTTTTTGTTTGCTGATGTATATAATCGTATTATACGATTGTATGACTTTTGTTAAGTAATTTATCAATATTAAATATAATAGAAAAAAAAAATACAGTTTAAGAAATTTTTTTATTTAAAATTTATCTTACATACACGAAAAACTTTCATCATCATTTCATAATAGAAGCTTTTTTATAGAATTTTCCAAGAAATATAATTATATATGAAATGTTTCAAAATATCTTATGTTAGACTATAGTAACTACTTAGATATATCAATCAATTTATTAATGCATGAAAAAACAAACAGATGAAAAAAGAAAAAAACCGATAAACTAATTATTTAGGCAATACTCACAATAATTTCTACTATAAAATATGAATTTTATATCTATATATCGATTTTATTCAGACATGCAGAATTTATTAATATGTGTGTAAACATATATTGGAGGAAAGTGTTTATAATTTGCGGAAGATTATTAACTGTAGGAAAGTTTGTTTTTCCTTTTTCATTTGGGAATTCGTATAAAAAAAAAATATTTCTTTTGTAACAATAAGAGCATTTTGCTTTTTACAGTGTGATTTATTTCTTGATAGAAACTATCGAAATAGGTTGTCTTCTTTTATTTAACTATACAATCTATTAATTACTGATTAACAACGATTAGTTTTTTTTTATGTTAAGCAAATCAATTTTTTCGAATGTACAAATGAAAGAAAAACAAAAATCGAAATCCAGGTTTTCATGTATTTTGATATCATAAACAAAAAAAATCTCATTTTAGCAGTAGACAAAGTGTACTTCAGATTTCAATCGAATTTGATAGGGTCACACTAACTTATTTTTGTTCTATGAATAGTTTTTAGAATCGTCTTGACATTAATTAGTATCAATATCTCATGATTACTAATGTTGTTATTATATTTCAATGGATCAACTTCATGAAAGAAGACAAATTATTAACATGAGTAGTCAAATATTCTATAGGAGTAATCTTAAGAATTTTTCCTGTTCATCTTCTATTAGAAGAGAACATGAATTCATTATCTATAGAAAAATTTTTATAAATCAAATCCAAATAAGAATAAAGATTAAGCTTAGTATATTTACTTCGTTATTCTCTAATGATCAGACTATCAATAAATTTTAATAATGATTTTGAACAAAAGAGAAGGTAATTTCATTTTTGATTCTTTTGATTGACGAATGATATTAAATAATGATTTGAAAAGAATACTACGAACTATATATTTACTAAATTTAGGTACATATATATATATATAATAATTTTTTTGCCTTTAGATTAAATAATAATAAAAATTGAAATAAAAGACGGTAGATTTTTTTTTTGTTATAAAAAATTACTAATCAGATCAAATTATTATACTATAGATTCTTTATTATTTTAGTATTATCATAGACTTTAATTAATGTTTCTATTATATTTTCTTATACTTATATCGGATAATATTATTTATTGTATATATAAACATAAGAGACATAGTCGAACTTATGAAAAAAGTCTTTCAAATGATAAATTGCTTTTGATTGGAGTCTATTTTGATTTTTTTTTCATAAATTCAAATAAACTGTGAATACCTGGAAAAAAAGTTCATGCCCTTAGCTTATAAAGGTCAAGATACTATATTTTCATGGTATTTTCCTCAATGAATGTGATGATTTCTCTCAAAAATACTAACAAAAACTAATATTCGAATTGTAACTAGAAAATATTTCATAGAAATAAGTCTTGACGAGAATAATTTATTTGTGAAAATTTTAGATCTTTTGATTTGTTTCTATTCTGAAATAAAAAACATCAAAATTACTGGTCTTTATCAATGGTGTAAAATTTCCGTTATTAATATAATTGTATCTTAGAATAGGAACAATGGCGAAATTCATATATTCATTTTTTTGATTTTCTTAAGAGAAATGACAGCATGGATTTAAAACCTATCATAAAAATGCAGTATGTCCAAAGCATGAAGTAAAGAGTACAAACCCATTTCAAAGTACTCATAACTCATTTGTATCTTCATCATGTACACGGTTTTGACTGAAAAGTCAATTTATTAGTTGAAAGACTTCTATTGTTACTGATAAAATACAAGAATTTATTTACAAATAAGTGTAATATAAAAATGATTATATAGATCTATTGATCAAAACATATTTGACTTTACTAAAGAAAGTAGACAATTATAGTAATCATATACTATTAAGAGTTTTCTTTACGAATGTTTCTAATAGAATTATCATTTTTTTTCCTTGGACAAATCAAATTAATAACTATGCTTGCATGTCTGTCTTATGAAATAATTAAACATATACTCACCTAGGTTAAGAAATCCAACCATTGAATCTTGTCGGATTCAATCAAATTCAATGTCAGACTATGTCGAAAATAATCGTACTCTATTGGATTGATTCGACAATCCAATGACCTGGACACCAACGAACATTTAACTATGAAAGAATCTTATCAGATGCGACAAGCTTCGATGAATAGACTCGATAAGATCTTATCGGATCTAGTGGAGATACTCAAAAGATCCAACAGCATAAGATCAGATTTGAATCAATGTTGTATACGTATTCTATTTTCTTTCCACTATCACTTGCCAGTGCATAATAAATAATTAGATTTACGACATCAATAGTAAAAATCTACTGTCTATCCTTATTATCCATTGATTTATAACCAAATACGAAGTAAAGCCAAATATCATTATTGAAACTCAATGCAAATATATTACTGATGTGTAACCTATATCCTTAAACTTATACACCTTATAAATATATCTCTATACCTATGTGTTTTTGCTTATATCTTCATGATTACACTCTTTTGACAATAATCATAGACTTGCACACCTATAGGACCAGCTAACAGTTCTGGTACTTGCTAAAAAAATTCATTTTCCTCTTTCATTACAAATACGAAACGCTTCAAAATAGAACATACAATATATTGCAATTAGATGAATCCTATCGTATATTTTCATTACTCTAGTAATAAAAATTTTTTTTTTTTCGAATAATTGAAAAATAAAAACATACTATCCATATAGCCGAGTAATGGTGCAATTACATTATAATACAAGTTACTTCATAAATTTTAATGCATTATTTCGGAAATAATATATTGTAATGCATTAAAATGCGTGAAATTGGTTGCATTATTATATAATTTCATCCATTATTTCTATTTCGACCACATGGGTGGAGACTCACATGAAACCATGAAAAGAGAAATGAAGAAGAGAAAAATAAAATAAAGAAATATTGTAAGAATAATGTTGAAAGGTTAATTAGATGTCTATAGTATAGTCAATAAAAGATATTCATCACTAATTAGCTTTATAGAAAAGTATGACTTTTACTGATCATTTATCTTCCATTGCAAGTCGTGTTTTTAAAACATTTTTCTAATCTTCGAATTTAACTTTCAGCCCTTTTTTTTTTTTTTTGAAGAATTCGAACAACAAATGACATATGAATTGTAAAAATACTGA